GGTTTTGATTCTAGCAACCTAATGACAGACAAGAAAGCAAAAGAAAGCAGAAGAAAGCAATTAAAGACCAGTAATGGCAAAGAGAAACAAAGCAAAAACAGAGTAAAAGCTGAACTAAAACAGAGTAAAAGCTAGACTTCAAAGATTAAAAGATGGTTCAAGATCAAGGCAATGGTGATAGGGTGATTCATGTTTATTTCTAGGGTGATCAAAACAAGCAATTCTAAACACTCAACCTTAGGTAAGGAACACTAATAAAGACTAATCCAATCTCTTGGTATTAATCCCTTTGCTAAATCACATTTCAAACCCACTTTTGGTGGTGTATCTATGACAAGCAAGCATTAAAATCAAGTTTCATAAAACCAATTAGCATGCTAGACATCTAATCTCTTAGGCTAGGTTTACTAATCTCTTATACAATATATCAAATATACACTCACATTCTCATGCATAATCAATGTCTAAAGGCAATTTCTCATTAATATGGTATCAAGCAATAAGCACATTCAAGCAAGAAATGATAGATGCAAAGACTCATGATTATCTAAACACCATTTTCAAACATTGAACTCCATTCATGGATTTCATCAAACACTTGGTGTGAATGTGAAAATCTAAAATCAACTTCTACAACAAAGAGGTACTAAGCATTAAGCAAAATCATATAAGAAAGGGAATGAGAAGATATAAGCACTAATCAACCTAAACAATCACTAAAATCACCCCATCTGCCATAATCTCAAACCTAAAGCAAACTACTCACTAATCAAAGTAAAAACCATCAAATCTACGAAGAAAAAATAGTTAATCATGATTAGGGAGACAAAAGATTAAGGGAAATGAAAACTATTATTAAAATAAGCAAAGATTCAAAAAAAAAATTATTCAAAATCTAGAGAAGAAAAGAAGAACTGCTGGATAAAGAGTTGTTTCCAGAAATTAGGGATTTTAAGTATTTATAGGAGTCTCAGCGAAAATGGCAAAATTGTAAATAAGTGGTCTTCAGTTTGGAATCCTATCGGTCACTCCTTGACCGATAGGGTGACCGATAGAGAGACTGATAGGGTGACCGATATGGGAGATCGATAGAGGTTGAGCGGTTTTACGAAAACTTATGTAACTTTATAGCCGCTGATGGTAATGACCTGAAACCAACTCCAGACGCAAGCTAACTCATGGGGCTATAACATTGATGAATACTGGTGAAGCTGAATCGGGTTGGAGATGCTTTTCCGAGCCGGTTTTGTCAGGTGAAGTTTCTGGTCGCTTCAACAAGGTGCACTTTCTTCTGGCTCTTTTGATGTCTTGTGCTGCACCCACCATCATCTCCAATGATCCTTGTAGTCTCCAAACTCTCCAAACATACCTGCCCAACTTCTAAAATGCACAAAACATGCAATGCACACCCTAAATCTACACTAAGTCCTAATTGAATGCAAATGGGACAAAAACAAGCAAAAATGCATGTTTGAAGACTATAAAACAATGCAAAATGTATGCTAATATAGTGTAAATAATGAGTATATCACTATTCTTCTTTAATCTGCTTCCTAATCATGCTTAACCATCTTTTCTCTTTAGAATTTGTGGTTTCGACTATGGCTAGTGAGTAGTCTTATCTAGGGTTTGAGATGGGATAAATTAGAGGGATTTTAGGACTAGATTAGTGATGTCTTGTGCTTAATATGATTGTCTTCTCTCTATTGGATGTGCTTAACAGTAGATTATTCTTGGTCAGGCTTGTTTAGTATCTTATCTTTCTCTTGCGCCTGGTAAGTGTTTGATGAAATGCTGCTTAGAGTCTCTTAGAGGATTTGTATGCTTAGCCTAAGCAATCAGATGTCTAAGGTGCATTTTAAGGAATCAGATGTCTAAGGTGCATTTTGGCTTTTTAGGATTAGAGTTCTGTTCTGAATGCTTGCTGGTCATGTGTTTGAGTAAATGGATTTATCTTGAATGTGTGCTTAGAAAAGTGATTAGTGTCAAGGAATTGAGCAAATTATAGTTGTTAATCATATGCCTAGAAGATAACATTGTTTGAATGGTTTTGAAGCATCACTAGTTAAGTTCTAATTTCCTCTTAATCAATAACCCCCATCTTAGATCTTTGCTTTATCTATTTGAATTTCCTGCTTGCTTAGTTTAGTCTTTAGACTTGTTAGTAATGTTCACAACTGTCATTTTGAATCTTGCTTGACTTAGATGATTTGCTGTATTCTTGGTGCCTTTACAAACTCAGATGGATTGATACCTTACATGCTGCAATGACATGAGTGTGTTGGGATTTGCTTAGTAGTGAAACAACTGCCTATCAAGATGCATGATACTTTTAGGAGCCGGAGTGTCTATTTGGCCTGGATTATCATCATGCAAAAGAGATGCAACTAATTGTGGTGTGCCTTTCCTCCTCTGGTTCCTTGAACTCTGACTAGCCCGAGAGCATGTATGCATCTTAATATACGTTCATATCGAGAAAAGATCTATACCTTTAATCTTTGCAGATCGTAAGCCCTAACTACAGTTTTCTTGACGATATTTCAACACTAATTGGACCTTATCTGACTTTTTTATAGCAAAATCAAAATAATTCACAAAGGAGCCTCTATCCACCAAATCCTGCACTGCATTCTTATTTGGAAATTCTTGATGTAAATATAGACCCAATCCGTCTTCCCATGCCTCTATAAACTGAGTAGCTTTTACAACAGGTTGCAACTCACCATATTCATTGCACATATCCACAGATTCATCACCTGATATATTTCCACCCTCCCTAGTCTCATCATCCTTCTCTATCGCCTCATGTTGTTGTTCTGCTTGTTGGTTGTTCACAATCATGGCATTATCTTCAATTTCATCATCCTTCGAATGCAACTCCTTATAGTTCGCACCAGCAAAACTTTTTTCCTTCGCTTTCGAAAGCTTATCTGGCAGTTCTATTGAGATAGTGATAACCTCCACATGCAGAAGACATCTACGATTCTCATTGTCAATGGAGGCCAGATAAACACAAAGATCCTTATCATCAGAAATAGTCCACTTTTCCTCATATCCCACCAGCAGTGGAGTGTAACTCAATTTCAACTTCACTATGCTTTCATCTAAATCAACTTTTTTGCAGACTCTACCTTCTATCAACGCTAAAGTTATATCTGTCGTTGGTGTCTTCAAGAATATACTATATTGCCGATCTTTGCATTTAAAATGTATGATGCTGTTGTTGCTCATTGTATCCTGCCAAAACAATACAAAAACTCAATCGGTAATACTAGTTATCCATAATTATACAAAAAGTAATACCCAGTTGTACAAAGTAATACTTTATTAATCAATGATAATAATACTAGTTATCCATAATTATACAATAAATAATACTCAGTTGTACCAAGTTATACGTTATTAATCAATGATAGTAGTGACTAGTTATCCACAATTATACAATCAGTAATACCCAATTGTACCAAGTTATACTTTATTAATCAGTGATACTAGTGAATAGTTATCCACGATTATACAATCAGTAATACCCAGTTGTACCAAGTTATACTTTATTAATCAGTGATACTAGTGATTAATTATCCACAATTATAAAATCAGTAATACCTAATTGTACTAATTTATACTTTATTACTCAGTGATACTAGTGACTAGTTATCCACAATTATATATTTATCAATAATGCTAGTTCTACCCAGTTATTTTTTGCAGGAACTTAAATTGGATGATTTTGTGTTCAATTCATTCTAATCTACAATTGAATACGATTCAACTTAATTCAACCAATACAATCTATTTATTACCAATTTATAGTTTCCATCAACCCATAAACTATTGTCCATATCATAGCATTAGAGATTAAAAACTTTTGATTTTCAATTACCTCGATTCACTGCAGGTTCTTACTTCCGCCGACGTTGATAGAGAATCCTAAGATGGTCCAGTTTACTTCCGACAGCGTCCTGCAACAGCGAAACTCTGCAACGGTTTTACAGTTCGATAACAATGATGAGAGAAATGAGAGAGAGAGGAGCACGAGACGAGAGAGAAGAAAGAGAAATGTGAGATTTTTTTTTTAATTAAATTAATTCAGTTTTTAATAAAATTTATTAATAATGAAATAAGAAATTTAATTATAAAGATGATATCAGATTATCTAGAGATATATGAGATAACATCTTGAGATTGAGGAGCATTGAGATCATGACTCAAAAAGCAGTAATTAGTGTTACTTCTAAGGGGTACTTTAGAAAATTTTCTTAACCTTGGCAAATTTTTATTTCTGTCTTGAAGGCAAAGCTTTCTTCTTCTATTCTCTTTCTCTATTAGATCACAGAACAAAAAAAATCGAACTCCGATTCAGAAGAAAAGGGTTTTTGGCTTAGTAAATCAAAATTTCGTTGAGAAAAGATGAGCAGAGGAAGCGGCGCTGGATACGATCGTCACATCACTATCTTCTCTCCGGAAGGTCGTCTCTTCCAAGTCGGTCAGTAATCGTCAAACTCAAACGCTCTTTGAGCTTCGCTTTGTCTCGTTTCCGTCGTTTTAGTCTGAGAAGACTGAGATTACTGGTTACGAATTTTGTAGAATATGCATTCAAAGCCGTGAAAGCAGCTGGAATCACATCGATCGGTGTTCGAGGAAAAGATTCAGTTTGCGTCGTTACCCAGAAGAAAGTTCCGGTAAGTTCCTTTTTGACGATTTAGGGTTTTGGGTCGAAGTGAAAAGTTTGCATCTTGTATTAGGTCGTAGATCTAAGCCTCTTGTAATCGAGGGTTTGCTTTAATCTGTGATTCACTAAAGGGTTTTTACACGAGTGAGGGATTCGATGATTTGGGTTCCAATACATTCGAGATTTTGACTCTTTTCAATCCATTTATGTTTCATTGTTTTTGCTGAACTTCCATGTTTTTGCAACTGTGCAGGACAAGCTTCTGGATCAGTCAAGCGTATCTCACCTTTTCCCTGTAACTAAGTACCTTGGATTGTTAGCCACTGGCATGACAGGTTTGTATATCCCCACATAATCGCAATGCTCGTTAAATTTCAATGATAAACGCTAGCTTGTCTAAAGGTTATGATCGAAGTTATTATTTCTGCAAAGCTTGAGTATATTGCTTTGAGTGTTTGTCTAAAATATATAACCTTTTAATGGAATTTCCAGCTGATTCAAGGTCCTTGGTTACACAAGCAAGGAATGAGGCTGCTGAGTTCAGGTTCCAATACGGATACGAGATGCCTGCTGACATTCTTGCTAAATGGTATACTATCTGTTTTAGTTCTTAGTTAGTTAATTGGGAATATGGCGTTAGCTATCAGTCTATATGCTTCTACATTGATCAAGTATGTAACTTAAAGTTACTAATCATGAACAATTGTGCTGACAGGATTGCAGACAAGTCACAGGTCTACACTCAACATGCTTACATGAGACCCCTTGGAGTAGGCAAGTTTGCAGTCACTTCCTTACCTAGCATATCTATTTATGTTTGCTTCTGTTTGTCTCCGTGGTTTAATGCTATGTCTAATTGGAGGCAAGGACTCATCCTTGTGTTCTATTTTCTTTCTGAAGTTGCCATGGTTCTGGGCATTGATGAAGAGAGAGGACCCCTGCTTTACAAGTGTGACCCAGCTGGACATTTTTATGGTCACAAGGTAATAGTACTCTACTTGTTATGATTAAATAAGCCCCTTTCTCTCAGCTTACATACTGATATATATAGCTTACAGCTACAAGCCTGTGTGGAAAATGTTTAACTACTGTTATTGCACTTGCTTCTTATGTTATGTTTCTTTCAATCTTGTCTAACCAGAGATTAGGAATTGGTTTTTTGTTGTTGTTGTTAATGGTTGACCATGGAGGTGTAACGAAAATTGTTACACATTGCGTACCTATTAAATACGATGTGGTTACATACGTGGTACATATTTACTTGTGGAGTATATACCCACGATTTGAGGAGGCTAGAATGTACAATATTACTGTTCCATATAAGAGTATAAGGCTTCTGTTATTTAGTGTTTCAACTAATAAGTAAGCAAACATATGATGCAGGCAACTAGTGCTGGTATGAAAGAGCAAGAAGCAATCAATTTCTTGGAGAAGAAAATGAAGGAAAACCCTGCCTTCACATATGATGAAACTGTGCAGGTAAGTTATGTTAATTTGCTTATACCTTTAAAGCTTTATTGCTTTATAGTAGGGTTTAAAATGGTAGAAACGTACAAAGCAACATAATTTTGAAACAAACTTAGCTCATTATTTATGACTTTTGTAGACTGCCATATCCGCTCTGCAATCTGTTCTTCAAGAAGACTTCAAGGCAACTGAGATTGAGGTATAAAATTCTCTCTCTCTCTATGTTCCTTTTTTTTGTTTGTATGTTGGCCAAAGTAGTATCTTGATTTTGAATAAAAGTTCTACTACGTGGGAAAAATCTCCACTCTCTATACTTCACGTTGGAATGAATCTTTGGTTATCAAGCTTGTGAAAGTCATGTGAACATTTTCCATGTTCATTATTGTTTTGGCAGGTGGGAGTTGTAAGAGCTGATAACCCTATCTTCCGTTCCCTGGAAACGGAGGAGATCGAGGAGCATTTGACGGCCATTAGTGAACGCGACTGAGGTTACTTTTCCATGTAACATTAAATCAGACTTTGCATCTCTTCCTTTTGCTTTCAAATCTTTTTAAGATCCATTCACATTTCAGAGAAACTTGTTTGTTTCCATTTGAATCATTTGCTCTAAGATCCTCTTAATATAAGTTGCATGTAATGGTGTCAAATTAAGATCGAATGACCACAGCACAGGGATAAGAGATGGGTTTAGGTTTTCTAAAGATTGAATGATAAGAATCTACCAAACAACTTAGTAACTTAGACTAGAGTAAGCGATGACTAAGAGGCTTCTGGGCAAACCGAGGTTTATAATTTTTGGCTTTGATTCTTCAAATTATTTTGGTTATCGTTTTAGTGTGCCCGAACCAACTGTTAACCGCAATTTTAGAAAATTTTCTAAACCAACCACTAAATTAAAATTTGTTTAAAATTTTTTAATCCAAACTATTTGAGTAATCCGAACTTAATCGATTTGAACCAAAAGGAAGCAGATACTTAATATAAATTTAAGTAAAATTTTAATATTCCAACTATTCGACATTCAAACCGAATCTATTCAGTAGAATTTTTCGAACGGAACCAAAACCAAACTTATAAGCAACTGGGGACGCGGTGAGCGTGAGGCGAAAATGCCACAATTAAAAAAAAAAAAAAGTAATCTAATGCCATTCACTAATTCAAAGATGTAAAATGATAACTTAGTGAAAGTAATTGAAAATAACTAAATAAAAGTAAATTAATAAATCAGTAAAAATAAAATAATTAAAAATAATTAAAATTAAAATCTAAAAAAACAAAATTAAATATAAAAATTTCTCATCCTTCCACCCTCCGCCCCTGACGAGCTCCTCCCTCCTCTCACCCGAGTTCTCTTTTGGTAAACTCCTCCCGTCATTCTTTTCGTTCGGCCCAAATTTCGACTCTTTCTTGATAACAGATGTTTGTGATGTAATCGAATCCTAACACACTCATGTTTTTGCAGCATGTAAAATATTAATCCATCTGGGTATATAAGACACTAAGAATGCAGCAGTTCACTCAAGTTAAACTAAATTCAAAATAACAATGTGATCAAACTCTAATGATGAAACTAAACAAGACTAAGCAGTGCAAATTCGAAATAATAGATTCAAATGGATTAAAGCAAAGATCTAAGATGGGCGTTATTGACTAAGAGGGGATTAGAACCAAACTAGTGATGCTTCAAAACCATTCAAACAATGTTATCTTGTAAGCATAGGATTAACAGCTATAACTAGCCCAATTCCTTGGTACTAATCACTTTGCTAAATACAAGTCCTAGACAACTTCCATTACTGAACATATGATTAGCAAGCATTCAAACAGTAATCCAATCCTATAAAGCTAAAGTGTTCCTTAGACTTCTAATTCCTTAGGCTAAGATAAACAAATCCTCTAAAAGACTCATTGCAGCATTTCATCAAACACTTATCAGGCATAAGAGAAAGCCAAGATACTAAACAAGCCTGACCAAGACAAATCTAGTGTTAAGCACATATAATAGAGAGAAGACAATCATATTAAGCATAAAACATCACTAATCTAATCCTAAAACCCCTCTAATCTATTACATCTCAAACCCTAAATAAGACTACTCACTAGTCATGACTAAAAACACATATTCCAAAGAGAAATAATGGCTAAGCATAACTAGAAATCAGAATAGACAAGAATAGATAAAGGCAATCACACAAATTCACTAGATCAAACAAGGCCTTACAAAGAAAAGCTCAAAAGGGAAAGGTTTTTAATGCAAGAACAGTAGAGAAAATAATAAGATAAGAGTTGCCTAAACATTTTAGGACTTTAGTATTTATAGGGAGGCTTAGAATCCCCTAATAAACTAAGAGAAAACCGCTTTTAGTCCGACTCGGCTGGACCATATCGGCTCCTTTGATCGATACACACATCGATACTGGCTCTCTTTGAGGGTGTATCGACATGGTTGATACAGAGGTTTTTAGGCTCTTGTTGTCAATCACCCAAGCATGTACTAGTCAGTTGTAGTATAGCATAGTGTTTTATATCAATCCAAATGGGTTTGTTGAAAGCAGAAGAGTTGTGAGCAGAGATCTATAAGTCAAGCAAATCACAAGAAGTTTTGTTGCCTAAACAACTTATCTAACACCCTAGAATGATAAACAACTAAACAGAATTCAAAAGAAGCAATCTAGAAATGATCAAAAGAGACAGAACCGAGTAATTAAACAGAGTACTCAAGCAAATTATGAATTCAATAAAAGAGAAAACAAGTTCCTAGATGTGGTTATTGATTTTTGGGGAATCTAGAGACTAACTAAGGTTGTTCCAAACATCATTGATCAAGCAAACAAGCTAGCAATGGTGGTTCCTAGACATAGAGTTCACAATCAAGCAAGCTAAGTCCAATCTCTTGTAAAATAGCCATTTGCTAAACACCTTAACAAGAACTAACTCTCATTAGTGCTAAAACATTTAACAAGCAGTAATAACCAACTCTATTCATGTCAAAATGCTCCTCAAACAGTCAATCTCTTGAGCCAAGGCCAACAAATCCTCTATTAAACAAGATCAACATTTCATCAAACACTTGATGGGCATAAGAGAAAGCCTAAATCCTAGATAAGCGTGATCAAGACAAATCTAGCTTAAACACAGATTAATAGAGATGAACCCATCAAATTAAACACTAAACAAACCTTAATCAATCCCTAAATCCTCTTAATCTATCACATCTAAAAATCCTAAGCAAACTACTCACTAATACTAATGTTTAACACCAAATCACAAGATGAAAAGATGTTAATCATGATTAAAAGAGAGATTAGAGAAAGATTAATGGCAAAAACAAACTTGAATTAAATAAAGCAAGAAATTTGTTTACAAACCCATAAAATAAACTCAAGAACAGTGTTATGAGGTGACTTGTCTAAAATCCCAGAAAAAGGGTATTTATACATAAGAGAAGGAAGCCCTAAAGTAATGGTAAAAGTGTAAATAAAAACAGGCTCGGATTGGGTTTCTATCGGTCAGTTGTGACCAATAGGAATGATCGATATGGATCCTATTGGTCTGGAAGATGACCGATAGGGTGACCGAAATATAACCGGTGCACTGCTATCGGTCACTTCACTGACCGATAGCCCTGGTCGATAGGAAACCTATCGGTCACTCCTTGACCGATAGGCCTTGTGCCTTGATCGATAGGCTCAACAGAGATCGTCTTCCTTGGTCCCTTTTGCTTCTCTTGGTCCAGCTAGCTTCCTGGATCATCCCCAAAGCTCCTCTGATAGGGTCAGGTTTTACCCAAATAAAACCACTGCAAGTGCACAGCAAAAGCAATTATAGTACAAGGGGTATCGAATCCCAAAGGAGTAATGCAGACTACACTATCAAATGTAGATTCGGATTAAGCTAAGCAGAATAAAATGTATGTAATGCGAATGAATAAATTAAAGTAAGCAAACGATTTTTGGAAGATGATCTAAGTTTCAGAAGACTAAAAGCGCTAAGTCAGGACAGTTCGCAGGTTGAAGCCAAGAATGTAGAATGCATGAATCAGGAATGATTAAAAACCATTTTAAACATTAATCACTGATGTATAACTAATCAATTCTCATTGCAGAAGTTATCTATGCCTAAATCACAGAGTTTCAAATCTCTTTGCAAACCCTAACAACCTAAGCATGCATGAATGATCAGATTCAATTGTTTACAAAACTCCTAAGCCAAATCTCTTTTCACTAAGTTGTTTTGCCCATCAAATACTAGTTTAGGTTATCAATATTGCTCTCACATATATTTAACAACCTAGGATTTTCGGATTTCTAGATGATGTGTCTCAGAAATTCGAATTTAAATCAAGCAGAGATGAAAAACCAAAAGATATTCCTAACAGATAGCGATTCTACAATCTCTTCATCAACCCTTGAAAAAGCCCTAACTTAACTAGCAGATTACTCAGACATGATCATGGAATCACAAAATATAACTGAATAATATTGCATTAAGAGAAAGAGTAAAAGAATAGAGGGGTTCAAAATCTTCTCAAAAGAGTACTAGATTTGTCTCCCCAAAAAGCTCAGAATAAACTTCTCTCTAAGCTCTCTGAATTCTTAAAAACTAAGATAATCGCCAACAATGGCTGAAAAACCTAACAAATAGAGGCTAAACACGATCTGGAGTCTTCTTGTAAATAATGGAACTTCTGGGCCAATTCTGTAAATAGTCTTCATACTTTTAATAAATCAGGCCAAACTCCTTCCCTGATGGGTGACGAGCGTCACCAAGGGTGGTAACGAGCGTCACCATACGGCATACTTTCTTTTTCGAGCTTGGTACTTCGTGGCTTCAACTCAGATTGCTCCAAAAGGTTTCTATATCTCCAATTATGCTCCAGACATGCTATAACCTGCAAAGACTCTTCTAGGACTCTAAAAAGGCCAAAAAGACTCAATAAAAAGGACTTATATCATGGTTAAAAACCATAAAAACCATGATATATCAACTCCCCCAGACTTAGCTTTTGCTTGCCCTCAAGCAAACATCAGACAAAGAACAGGGTCGGGGATTGAAAACAAGAAACAGTCAGTCAGTCATCAGGAACACCACACTAGTTTGAACTTTCGAATCCACATACCACAGAGTCAACAAAAGATAAAATTTCAGTCTAATCATCACAAGCTTAGCAAATCTCTCAAATCCAGTCCAAATCCCTTCAAGAAATCCAAAATTTCTACTGCTAACTCCTTATATTTTATCTAAGTGTGATATCTCATCAAGGTTCTATCATCTCAATCACTTTACAGATTCTTTTCCCTTCCTAACAACTGAAAAATTCAATCTCAACACAGCTCTCCTATTTTCTCTGCCCTTGATCTTTTCCTTTGGGTATTTTTGATTTTTCACTTCTTTTTCTCAACTTTTACAGTCTAAGATATGGTGCTTGATATATCATGGTTTTTATGAGTTTTTGACCCTGATATAAGTCCTGTTTATAGAGTCTTT